TTTTTTTTTTAAATTTTGTGGTACCAGGGATTGAACTCAGGGCCTTGCGCTTGTCAGGCAAGCTCTTATTCTACTGAGCCATCTCTCTGGTTGCTTATGGTATATTTTTGTTTGAATATGAGTTTCAGAATCCACAAAAATACTAGTCCCTTGTCCTCTGCCATTACTTTTCTCCTATGCACAAACCCACTGTCTCTTTGCTAACAGCATAAGCCACGACACAGGAGGTTGGCATTTGTGCAATCTCACTCACTTCAAACAGGGTCTCATTGTATAGCTCAGACTGGCCTCAACTCACTATATAGTCTAGGCTGGCCCCAATGTGTGATAATCCTGCCTCAGCCTCCTGAACGCTGGGACCCGTGTAACCTCTTTTAAAAAGATAACTATGTAATCCCAGCACTTGAGAAGCTGAGGCAGAGGATCCTTGTAAATTTGAGACCAGCCTGGACTGCAATGTGAGCTCAAGTCTGCAGGCAAGACCTTGTCTCAAAAACAAAAGATAACTAGTAAGACTGGGAGTGGTGGTACACATCTACACTCCAGGCTTTTTGGGAGGCTGAACACAGGCAGATCACTAGGAATGCGATCTAAGTAGTGACAGCCTGTAGAGCCTTACTAAAAAAAAAAACAAAACAAAACACACATGAAGTTCTTAATTACCTTGATGGGGTCCCTGCCACCCCAGTTCACTAATACTTCTTAGCAACTATCCTAGTTTAACAAGGGCTCAGTTCTCCTATTTATGTGCTTCTGTAATCCTATGGCTATGTGATACAAATGAAAACATTAGGAAAAAAAAAAAAAAAAAAAGAAAACATTAGAACCTGGTGAGCTTTCAAAGCAACAATAGGAATATTTATCTATTTCCCCCAGTTTGTTTGTTGCAGATAAAGAAAATATTTAAAAGCATGAACTTCACAAAAGACAGTACATCAGTGCAATGAGCATCAGTTAGACATGCCTAGAAATCCTGAGTAGACTGAAATTCCCCAATTTTGCACATAAACATACAAGGCTATAAAAAGTGATACTAAGACCGTATCCCACACTTAAAGGAACATTTTATGTATCACAAAATTAAATTCATGTTAACATTTGAAAAAAACAAAAACCAAAACAAACCCAGCCAGGCATGCTGCTGCACACTTACAATTCCAGCACTTGGGAGGCTGAAGCAGAAAGACTGCTACACCAGTTCAAGGCCAGTCCGGACTACAAGTGAGAACCTATCCCCAAAAAGCTCAAGTACACACTGCTTTTTACAGACAGGTGGTTATTACAGTATTGCTTGTCCCACCACTCCCTCTGACAGGGAGTAGTTGATCCTGTTTCTTTGGGGGTGTGGGGGTTGAGACACGGTCTCAATTTAGTTCAGGCTGGGTTGAAATCACTGTGATCCTTCTACCACAACCTCGAGTGCCAGGACTACAGGAATGGGCCACCAGTCTGGCATTTATAGTTCATCTGTGCCTTCACTACAACAGAAGTCAAAAGAAGTGAAGCGGAGTTTGCCTTTCTAAATATTATTATCGGGCTAGCCAGACAGCTCAGAGGATTGATTAAAGAGCCTGCAGACAGGCACAGGGGATGATTCAATCCTCAGGCCTGCTGTACCGACCCTGCCCTCAGGGCAGGCTGAGATACCAACTGAGATTGGGCGTGGTGGCACACGCCTGTAATCCCAGCTCTTGGGAGGCTGTAAACAGGCAGATCACTAGAGTCCAATCTAGTAGTGAGACCTTGAACACCCTGTTAATCCTTCCTTAAAATACAAAGTAAATAAATAAAATAATTATCACTCTCTAAAGTCTGGGGAAAGGAACACAGCATGAGCACATGCTGGTCTGTGAAGCTCACTATACTATGATAATTTTGTAAACACCTATTTGCTTGTTTCTAATCTGGAAACTTCAATGTTAACAGTACACCAGCATGTTAAATTGCTTCTTAAAATCTAATTACTACTATGGTAGCCTTCACAGTCCTTCCTGCCCTCTCATCCTAACTTCAACCCTAAATACCATAAACAAACCAAGAGCCCTCAAGTTTTTCAAATATATTTAGTGCCCAAAAGCAGTGTAGAGACACTGGGTTCAAATCTCCACACACACGTTTCTCAGAAAACAACCTACAGAATAAAGGACAAGACTGAAGAACTTTGCCTACAGCCTAAATTAAAACAAAATACCATACCAGCTTTTAGGAGGGACACCATGTCCTCTCCTCAGAAATTACAATGTGGCCAAAAAAACCAGAATAAAAGTCCTCAAATAAGATATCAAAAGAAAAATCATGAGGGAAAAGGGCTGACTGGTCTCAGTAATAAAACTTGATAATCTATTACTCCCACAGACCACTACTGGGTGCACATTTCTCTCCACATGTTCAATACCAGACAGCAGGTCTAAAAGCAAATAGATTTTACATGGTAACTCCTAAAGAAGATCAACAATTTAACATAGAAAAGAGAATGTAAACCTAGACACACACTTATAACAAGATTTTTGCGATCTTTACCTTTACCTGAAGTTCTCCCTGGAGACACAGAAACACGACTTTTTCTTGTACGGTTTGACTGCTGGGGCGTTGGGGAATGACGTGTTTTTGGTGGTGGAGTAGCTGGTGGGGAAGGCCTGTGCCTTCGCCTTGGAGGACTTGCTGAAGGAGATAACCTACGAGTTTTTCGAGGGGGGCTGGACGTCCTCTTGGGAGGTTTCTTTGGTGGTGACCGGGAACGAGATGAGGAGGATGATGAACTGCTCCCAGACAGCGATGCTGATGACCGCCTCCTTCTGTAGGATAAAGTGTTCACATTCATGGACTGCAGTTACAAAAATGACCTTACAGATATGTACAGTTTACCCAAAAATATAGCTACTTTCAACCAACTTTTGAGTTTATGTAGCTAAGCACATAAATGAATTTTTTAAAAAACCAGACAAAACCAGAGCCTACTACATACAGGAAACAGCTAGTTCTGAGACTAATAGAAATAACTTCTGACAAATGTTCCTGTCATGAGTTGTCTCTCCAGTCACAAAATTTGAAGTTGAGTGCTATGTGATAAGGGAACTAACCAGTCTTTCTTAGGAATGATATTGGTGTTTTGGAGTTTGCATTCAAAATTTCAGAGGAAAAGTATTTTTTATTTAATAACAACCATGAGCAACCTTTTACATTTTTAGGAAAAGATGCAAGATTAGGAATTCATTTAGCTACATAAACTTAGAAGCAGGGGCCTCTCGAATTCTGCGGCAAAACTGTGATTAAGTTCTGTTGCAATTATGTGTACCTGCAGAATTCACCTTTGGCAGAAGAATTCCTGAGAACCTGAAAAAAAGAAACCCTACCTTAAGTGTGAGAATAAAAACTGGTTGAAAGGGAATCTTACACAATCTGTAAAATATTTTGATTGCTAAATGGTTTAAGTACAATTAAAACATGCTGTTTGCAAAACTCCAATATAAGAAATAGCTGTTTCCACCAATTTTGCAATACATTAGCATTACTTTCTCTTAAGGAGAAATCATCAATTTGAAAAATAAATAAATCATCAATTTGAGAAAATTTTAGGAAAGTGTGACACATGAAATGACTAACCATTTATATCATTAGTGTCATCTGTAAGTAATAAAATCATATGTAACTTTGAATAGCAACAGTAACTTTTGGTTGAGTATGGAACTTTGAAGAACCCAAACTGCAGAAATAACCTTTTTTTTTTTTGGAGAGTTGGGAATTGAACTCATGCCCTTGCACTTGCCAGGCAAGCACTTACTTCAACTGAGCTATCTTCCCAGCCCTTTATTTAACCTCTTAATAAGGTTATTCAATATTCTGTTTTTTTAAAAAACAACTTCTTAAAACACAGAAATTTTTTATTTTTTATTTTTGTATTTTAGGGAAGGGTCTATAGGGTGTTTAGGGTCTCATTACTAGATTGGACTTATTTGTAGTGATCCGCCTGTTTAGAGCATCCTAGGAGCTGGGATTACAGGAGTGCACCAGCACATCCAGTCTCAATTGCCAAGCACTGGGGGCAGGCCAGGGGATTGAACACCTGCCCCCTGTGCCTGCTTGCAGGTGCTTTAATCCGCTGAGCTATATGGCCGGCCCCATTTTCCCTCTTTACTTACAAGTTGATTTCCCTGACAAAAACTTTTAATATCCTATCCGGGGCTGAAGTGTGTAGCTCAATGATTATCATGCTTCATGCTTAAGACCCTGAGTTCAATCAGGGGGCGGCAAGGGTTGGGGGGCTGGGGGGTTGTTCCTGTGTCAAATATAATCTGGTTTAGTCATAGTTTCTTTCAACAACAATCAAAAAACATTACCAAGAAGGCAGAAGGCAGGTATGGTGGTGAATGCCTGTACTACCAGCACTCAGCAGGCTAAGGCAGGAAGAACAAAGCAGGTTCAAGGCTAGCCTGAGCTTTGGAGTGAGTTCAAGGCCTGAATTACATACCAAGACCCAGTCTCAGAAAACAAAAACATAAAAAGGTACTGCTACCAACGGGCTGGGGAGATGACTCAAGAGAGTAAGCACTTCCCTGGCAAGCACAAGCGCCTGAGTTCAATCCCTGGTTCTGGGGAGAAGAAAAAAAAAAAAACAAAAACACAAACCTGCTACCAGTGCATCAGGCCTCTACCTAGGCAGATTTAATCTTTCTGTTACAGATGCATGTACAAGATCAAAACAGTAATTGTCAGAGCAATTTAGAAAAAATTCATACTGGCTGGCAGTCACATTTATAGCTTATTTCTTCAAAAATAACCAGACAGCAAACTACTAATAATGGTCATTTATATGAAACAAGATTAGGCAGATGCAAGGGCCAGAGTTTGATCTCCAGGCCTGCCTGCCGGCCCCGCCCCGGCACTCTGAGAGAGCCATTGAGACTGGGCATGGTGGAGCGCCCCTGTAATCCCAGCACTTGGGAGGCTGTAAACAGGAGAATCACTAGAGCCCGGATCTACATAGTTGACACCCTGTTAATTCCTCTACATCCCGTCCTAAATACAAAAAAATAAAGAAATGAGGGTATATGCAAGTTTCAATTTATGTTATCTCTGAACTGTGTATGATTATCCTCATTTAGACAATGACAAAGACAGTTAAAAGAAAAAAAAACATGATAGCAATGGTTTATTTTAGTTGGTCTTTTTTTTGAGACAGGGTCCTACCACGTAGCACAGGCTAGTCTTAAACAGTGATCCACCCGTCTTTCTTGTGAGGGGGGCTCTAAGGATGCACGACCATGCCTGCCTAGCAATTTAACACTGGTGAAAGCAGCTGACTTGCCCAGTAGCCAGCCACTTTCAAAAGTCAGTGACAAGTCAAAAGGAAGACAGCCAATTCTGTTACTTGGTAAAGTAAGTCCTACAAGATGTTAACATAAAGCATGCACAAGATGGTGAACTTGTGAAAGCTGCACTAAACTTTTCACAACTCATACACAGCATTACACTTCAACTACGACGCATTCTTTAGAAGACACTAATATCCTGTCCTGTAAGGTCTTTCTCCTAATAAAAGAGTAACTTAAATTATCCCAAAATAAAGATTATCTTAAAGTGTCAAAATTTTTGACATTTCAAAACTAAAACAAAACACCTCACCGTCTTACGGGAGATCTACTCCTTCTGTGCCTTGGAGGTGGCGGCATTCGTCGTGGTGGGCTTCTTCTTCGAGGAGATGGTCTCCTTCTTGGGCTTGGCCGCCTTCTGGGTGAGTATGATCTGCCATAACAAACACAATACAAATGAATGTGGAGCAAAGAATTTCTCCACGCAGTTTTTTTCAACCACTTTTTTTTTAAGACAAGATTTTGCTAAGTAGTCCATGCTGGCCTCAAACTCACAATGATCCTCCTGCCTCAGCCTCCTGAGTGCTGGGATTACAGGCACCAGGATGCCAAGGTTCCAATATCACGTTTTAAAAAATAAAACTTTTATTCTTTTGAGACAGGGTCTTGCTATACCCCAGGATGGTCTTGAACTGATTATCTCCTGTTAAACACTAGAATTACAGACATGTCACAATCCTTGACCTAAAAACAAATATCAAGGGTCACAATTTTCAATTCACGTAGATTTTTACTGTGCACAAAACCAAATTTTATAAATTCCCTATTTAATGCAAAAAATAACATCCTTATTAAATACTTCTGCTATTTTGAAATTAAGAAAATAAACACACTACCATCTAAAATCCAGATTGAACTGAGGGCCACAACTCACCTTGATCGGGACCTATGGCGCCTTCTTGGTCGAGTATGAGAAGGAGACCGAGAACGGGTCCGTGACCTTGACTTGGAACGTGACCGAGATCTTGGCCGTGTCTTGTCTTTTTCTTTTTTGGAATTTTTCTCCGGAGTAGGTTCTTTAGGTTCTGGCATGGGCTCAGGCTTGGGAACTTTCAGGATGTCACTGTGAAGATAAATGAGTATTATTTTTTTCCTCCTCTTTTAGTCACTCACCTAAGTCAATACAAGAATTACAGATTTTTCATTTTGAAGTTTCCAAAATCCAGATCTTTCTGCCTCTAAAGAATTATGTATAGATAAGCAGAAACCAATGTGTACAAATTCTTACTTCCAACTTCATATATTTTAAAAATACAAAATTGTCCATAAACTAGTGTGGTAGCGCATGCCCTTAATCCCAGCCCTCTGGAGGATGAGGCAAGAGGATCACAGTGAGTTTGAGGCTATAGTGAGGACCCTGTTTCACTTACAAAAAAAAAAAAAAGAGAAAGGACACTGTGAAGACTCAGGACATAGGAGAACCTGTACTGTAACATCATGTAACTCGGTTGTGCTCCAAATTTTCTCATCAAGAAGATTATGGAGCCACAGAGGAATGTGATCGATGATGTATAGTGTGCCTGGGGAGAGTCACATGGAGAGAAAAAAACAATCTCTCAGGCTTTCACAGAGAGCAAACTGG